TATTCTTTAAAAAAAATTATTTTTTTAAGAGCTTTTTAAAATTTATGTTTGGCCTGACTTTTACTTTTAAGAGATAGATAAATTGAAAAAAAATCAGGCCAAACGAGTACTCAATATCACAACAAGAATATGTCAAAGTTAGTGCAATCAAATATTATATCAACATGAATAATGCTCATATATAACTATAAATAATGGAAAAATTGGAACATAAATATATTTTGTAAAATATACAGATTTAATTTTTATAAATTATTATACAAGAATTAGATTCACCACATTGCGTAATTTTTTATGGAATAATGCAATTTTATTGGATTAGAATTTTAGAAAAACATTTTTACATATTTGGACAATGAAAATCTCAAATTGTAATTGTTTTAAAAATATAAAAACTACAAATAAATTTTTAAAATTTTCTGTTGCTAACTTGTTTCTGTGCTTGAGATGAGGCTACAATATATTTATATTAGTTAACCTTTAAATTTCATTAGCATAAAAAAATAAAAGAATATTTTATGTTAAATTAATGATTTCTTAGATTCACATAATATTTATATTTGTCTACAAAGAGTCATCTTGGTTTTTAAAACCTTAAATTCAACTTGGAAGGGTCAATGTCGAATTTTGAAAAATGAAAAGTAAAATTTACAAGATGAGAGTGAATTACCTAACATAAAGATTTTCATTGAGTACGACTGAATATTTAAGTACAATTAGGTATTTAAATATTTTTTATTAAATATAATTATGTATTTAAGTATTCACACCATTTTCAATATGTGCAAGTTATAGTATGGAAAGTTGGTTATGTAACTTGTACCATTATTAAGAAGTTTTTCCATAAAATAAGATTAAAAAAAAGTTTTCTTGTTACATATTATAGTATATTGTTAGTGTATTTGTTAAAGTGATATTTAAGAATTGAAGAGGATAAGTTTGTGGATCGATCAAAGAAAAAGCAAGAAAGTAAAGAGCCCAATTTATATATTTTTTTCCCGAAAGATTCCACCTTTTGGTGGATTGGAACCTCCAATTTAAGGAGAGTGATGATAAATATTTACATAAATCATCCTAGAAAGGCATCATTGTCAACTAGTGAGCCTCGAGCCCAGCAAAAAATGCTAATGGTCCAACCATTGCAGCATTGATGTATGTAGCAGGCTCAGAGTGGCTATAGTCAGATCGATCATCTGGGTACCCATCGTTCTGATTTGGACCTCCAACAATGGCTCCAACCAAAATGTTAGGGTTCGGGTTTGATGAGTAGAAGAATGGTTGGAAACCACCATCACAGCCTATGCTCTCATGGTGGCTCGCCAAAGATGGCAATGAAGAGCCTCTGTGATGAATTCTCTTTGGAAAGTTAGGTCCAAACCCAACCATGTAGGACATTTTTATTGGGTTCTCTCCCAATATGTAATCCACCTGAAAAATATATAAAAAAAAAATTAGTACAAAACCCAAAAATCTATTACTTAAAATAGCAAGTTTAGGCAAATTGGCAATGAGTAACTACTAACCTGTCTTTTTGCAAGGCCTATTAATGAGTTCGGAGAGACCATGAGATTGCCACAGTTAAAGGTCTGCCTTTTGGCTTTCATGTACTTGCCATATGTGGTAAGTAAAAATGTTATGGATGTAACGTATTGAAGGTTGCTTTGAGGTAGCTTGTACATTAGCCCTCCTGCATTCAATTGAAACCTAGTATTAATCAAGATTTGCACTTCTCTTATAGCATTTTGGGCAGATGCACCCAATTTTTACGTCCTTATATACTTTCTTTTTTCTTTAGAATCAATTTCATTAAATCTTAAAATTGATCCGATTTAAAAAATATTATTCTTCTCTTTTGGTGAGATCGATCCCACAAGACAATAAAACAATAAACATTGGAACTTTTCTAAAGGGATCAAATCATATTAATCCAAGAATGGGAAAAGGAATGCATCACCCTGAAAATGAAACAGCTATGCGTTACCTTGGGTGTATTGGGTAGTTGAATAAGGAGAATTAGGCAAGATCCGGCACATAAAACTTTCAGCTTCCTGTTTGTATTGCTCAAAGCTTTTATCATTCTCCACCAATGCACGCTGCAAATCAACAACAACTTAGTGTCAACAACATAATAATTCGAAGACAAAAGACACATCAACAGAGCCATCAAAAGAGCCTGAGCTTGCTTGGCCTTGGCTTTAGAATGTAGTTGTTACCCTTGCTAAAAGAACATGAGCACCAGCATATTTGTTGTCCCAACTGAAGAGGTCCGGTTGGTCATCAGCTCCCAATGTTTTCAAGAAATTAGAGTAATAAGCATCATTTGTCGCCCTCAGCAACCATGAAGCTCCCCACAGCAACTCATCCTGCAATTTATAGACAGATAAAGAGTGATACCAAAATTTACCCAACTCAAAATGAGCATTAAAAATTTTCCTAAAGTTCGTCCCATAACCAAATACAGGGTATCCGAACCCTATATTATTGGGTCCATACCTGTGGATGCCCGTATAAAATCTAACTGGTGAAGTTGTTCCATCTTACCTTGTATCCAGAATATGAGCAGTAAAATGGGCAAACAGCTGATCCAAGTGAGTCACTGTAAGCACCACGATACTGGATTGCGAAAGCCATGACTTTCCTAGCTGTTCCACGTAGCAAGCTTGAGTATTTTGGGTCTATTTTTCGGAAGACCATGGAGGCAGCTGCCAGTGCGGCAGCCGTCTCAGCAGCAACGTCGGAGCCAGGGTTGCTTGGGGTGACGGCGTACGTTGTTCGGACGGTGTCCATGTCCTCAGGCCGCTCCCAGCACTTATGGTCCGCATTGGGGTCACCCACGCCAACATAGAGCTTACCTGGCTTGGCATTGGCACATTTGAGGAGATAGTCAGTAGCCCAACGGATTGCAGCCCTTGCCTCCTGCAACTGGGGCCCCATTCTCTTGCCATATTCGAGCGTGCTCCATGATAGCATCGTGGTGGTGAATGCCATTGGAAAGTTGAACTTGACATTGTCTCCAGCATCATAGTACCCCCCTGTTAGGTCCACCTGCATTTGAATTTCAGGTCAATTAGTCCATTTACAAGAAATCTGCAGTACCTGCTATAGTTATAACACAATGGACAAGTGGGGAGTATAACATACATGCTCAAGGAGACCATCAGAAAGTCCAGAATTGGACCTCCAAGTGATCTGCTGGTTGGCAGGGAGCCTCCCGGACCTCTGACCTTGGAAAAACAGAATGGACTTAAGCAGGGCCTCTTTGTAATTTGGATTTCCATGGACAGTATTCAGCAGCAGTGGAGACAAGAAAAGCAAGAGACAGAGAAATGATACACTGCTGCTGGTTGCCATTGGGGACTTGCTCAAGTGAAAGCAATTACCAACTTTTGATTGATTTGTTTTGGTGCCTTCTTTCAACATATGCATGCCCTTTTTATAGGAGAAATAAACGTGCCCCAATCTCAATAGCGCAAAATCAGGCTTTCATACCCCAGAATCACTATTCTTTATTCTCGTTCAGAATCTTCATTTTAAAGTATTCTCTTCTCTTTCCAAAAACGAAGCAGAACAGGGTTTCTGGTAAGCTCAGACATCCTGTGCATTGTACATGTCAACAACTTAAGGTATACGGGATAAGGAAAGTAGTCTACGCAAATCAGCGGCTAATTGATTGCTTTAACATTAATTGAGTTGACTAATTGGTACTGGCAGTCAGGACTGATTTCATCCCCCAACTCGCAAGCTTCAACTCTTTTTCCAATTTTCCTGATTATCGCCTCACTTGTCTATCTTTTTCACCCCTAGTAATCATGAAATTAATGAATTTCACAATTTGAAGGGAAACTTAAAATGGAAAGAGTATTAATCAGCATATACAACATAATGGTTTTGTTTACAAAAATCAGACAACAAATCAAACATAAAGTTTAAGAAAATCAACACGCGCTGTAATATTTTAATAAATACTTTTTTATACATTTATCAAAGTAATAATATTTTTTATAATCATATTACATTGTAAAACCGAAACGTCACCTTAGACTAAATTCTTAAGTCATTATATTCTTTTATATTGCTTGTCAATAAAAAAAATAAGTCTTCCCTCCAAGAGTCGGATTCAGATGACAATATGGGAAATTAACGGAAAACACATGACTCTCCAGTGAAAAATTTGGAGAAACAGGGCAAGACTTTAATCACCAATCAAGTACAATTAGATTCCCCGGTCATGATGGCACATCAACAACGTCAGACAATATTGGAAACCGTAGGGCCATTGGGATAATTAATGTAATGGGAAAAGTCATGCACGAATCTCCTGTTAGTGTATGCTGGATGGTTTAGTTTGTGCCCCTACAAGAATGCCTCAGTCAAAGGGAAAGAAAAAGGCTGGGACCAAAGGAAGAGAGTAGTGCTAATTTGCGGGAACTTGGGTTCATTGTTTCTGATTTGAAAAAGGGAAATTAGCAGTGAATGGCGCGGGGACCCTGGGATCGCGCAAGGAATTCGGCGCGCCAAACTCCAAAAGAAAGTTTCCATGTTAAAACGGGTGCTGAAAGCATTTTACACCTTTCTAGGCTTTGGGGGATGTTCTTTGTTCACTTTTCCTCCCATGCTTTACGACCAAGTTCTGTACTTCCTTTAATTTTTCTTTATTATTTTTTACAAAGAACAGAGTGCAGAAGAGGAGAATCAATGGTGCTATTCTCCACTTTGATTTTTTTTTTTTTGAGAAAAAATGGGTTATATGAGTTGGTTACAAGGGGAATTGGATTAGGTCAAACTTGAGTTGTTGGTTCATTTGTTTTCACTATTTTAGTATTTATTTCCTTTTTATTTGTACTTGTATAATTTTTATAGAATTCAAAAGCAAAAGCTTGAGAGCTCTAAATCTTGAGAATCATCATAGTTATCATTTTCCATGATTATCACTCACAATCATTGTGCCTTTGCTTTCTTTCCAATTTCGAGTGCAACTCGTACTAATTCATCAACTAATCGAGATTTAAACAATATAGTATTTTACTATTTTAATATTTATTTCTTTTTTTAACAAAAAATCATCCATAAAAACCCAAAGGACTTGTGCAGGAAAAATTAGAAAGAGTTCCAATCCCTAAGAATCACCCTAGCTACCCTATAGCCCTGTGAGCCACTAGTCATCAACCCCATACTCAATTTGAGTTACTCACAATTGCCATTTGTTTGGATTAGGTTGGATTGGTTTCTTACATCTCAGCTTGGTACAAGAGGACTAATTGTGTTGGAACTTTGGGATTTCAACTCCAAGTCATTGAAGTATAAAGATCTTTATCCTCCATTTAGGATTAATCTATAGCAAATATTCAAAACTTGATTCTACTTGAGAAAGAAGTTTTAATATCTGTCGTGTAGAGTAATATGATTTTATGTTACTTTCTCAATAGCTCTTGTACATGCTACTTCAAAATTACTTTGGCCTCGTCGATTACTAATGGATATGGGCATTGCGCATTCTTCTCCCACTATACTTCATTGTTATAATACAAGTGTTATTTAGATTGCTTATAGTAATATGTTTCATGAACACATTACATATATTGAGATTGATTGTCATTTTGTGAGTTATCATTTGACTAAAGAACTCTTCATTTTACTCGATGTCTTCTTTAAATCAAATTGTTGATATCTTTCTAAGTCTGTCAAACCAAATGTTTGGAAGCAATGATAAGATAAATGTATAAATTCAACTATACAATTAGAATACGATTCCATTAGTTGGCTAGTTAGATTCCATATGGTTAGGTGGTTAGATTACAATACTATTAACTAGTTAGAGCTATAGTATGAATTGGATCAGTCTTGAATATAGGTAATACAATATTCCTCTTCTGGTAACAAAGAAAAACACAACAAGATTGAGAAAGTGAGAGGTGAAAGAAAGGAGGAGAGAAGGAGAGAGAGGAAGGGATGGGGTGAAAAGCTACAATTGGATCTTATCTTGGGCTGCTAGATCAATGGTAGTGCGTAGGGATGAGAAGTGACATGAGAAAGGAGAGAAGATGAGAGAAGGAAACAAATAGAAAAGAAAGGAAAATAGGAAATGAAATAAAATTAGTCAAAAAAAAAAGAATAAAGAGAGAAAAGTAGACTAAGAAATTAGGCAATTTAGGTATGCCCAATACGGAGCGAATCTCCATGTCCACGGAAAGATATAAAGAAGGAAACTTTCACATGATTTTGATTTATATTAATTAATTTTAAAATTTTTTTGGTTTCAATTTAAATTGAGATTTTGGGGACCTTTACTTTTATAATGCATATTATCTATAATTTTTATGTTTTTAAATTATAAGTTTTATCATCAAGAAAATTAGTTTTAACATCATCTATTAGAAAAAAAAAAGCAATAAATAAAAAAATTAGGAAATATATAAGTTTGGTGAAAAATGTTTTGACTATTTTGAGGGAATAAGAAAAAATAAAATATGCCATATAATTAATTTAATAAACTAATAATTGCATAATTAACAAAACAGGGGAAGATTTTTTTTAAAAAAAAAATTTTGTCACGTTTATAACCTAAGATAATTTTAGTAAACAAGGAACTAAAAAAATTATAAATCTCAGCTCAAAAGTTAATAAAATATTAACATTGTTTTTCAATAATAATATCAGAAAATAAGTCATTTATATTCTTATAATATATGTCATAAATTAAATAAAAAGACTCATTAAAAAATTTTAAAATACGTAAAATAATAATTAATAATATAATTTATTTATATAATAAATGAATAACAAACTTAAATTATATATATATATATATGCAAACGGTCAGCACATGCTTTGCAGTTTGCAGACATCATTATGTTTGTTTGGTAAATACAATGATATCATCATATAACTATTTCAGCCAATTTTGAAGTTGATCAATCCCAACGCCAGAGATGTTTTCTTATCCAATATGTTAAGTAGCTACGTCTTACTAAAAGTAGTTGCTTAAGGTACTTGTTTTGGATTTGAACAGTTTACTTAAACATATGAATTTAGGGATGATAATGGGTATTTTTTAATCGATACTGATGAGTATTTTATCTAATTATATACAATATGAATATTTTATATTTGAGTTTGGAATGGATTGTGATAGTAAGTTTAGTGCTTGTTACGGATAAGATACGAATATTATCCCATGGATACTCAATTTGGATGTTTATTTATTTGTTTTGAGTTATTTAAGTTATTTATTAAGATATTTTTAAAATAATTTGTTGTTTAAATTTAAATTTTAATGTTCGTTTGATTTTATAAATTTAATTATTATTGAATTGTATGGATGTAAATTGTGATATTATCTTATAAGATTGTATCTGTGGGTATAAATTTGAGTTCGGGTAATTAAGTATCCATGAAGATGTTAATAAAATTATTTAAATAGATTCGGGTAGTGGATAAGGTATTAAGGTAGTGAATAATTGTATAATTTTGATACCCTACTTATTAATAGGTTTGCGAAAGAGTACTTTACCTATACATGATAACTCTATGATATAGAGTTATTTGGGCTTACTTTTGATATTAATTTAACTTAGCTCTTGTAGTAAGGCATAGAAATTAGTAAGTTTTATTTAAATTATTTTAAATTAATTAATTTAGATGAGTCAATCTAATGTTAGTTAATTTTATATTTTATTTAGTGTTAATGTGATTAAGATAAATTGTTATTGATTTATTCATACTTTTGTAGGTTTAATTAAAGAAGATTTTTAATGGAAAAAAGAAAGCAATTTTAAAGTGTCAACTTTTATTGCATATATTTTTGTTTTTCGATCATAACTCTTTCTACGGAGTTATAAATGAGATGATTCTTGAACCATTGTAAAGATAAGAGAAAAAGCTATAACTTTATTGTTTACCACTTTACCTAGTTCAACATAAAAGGTGGTCAAAAATCTTGTCAAAATTGAAACATTGCAACAGTCCTAGAGCAATTATGATTTTTACTAATTAATTGGTTGAGGCTGCGGTTCACATAGTCTGATGTGAAAATCTTAGTTGTAATTAACTCATTTCTTCACCCAACTTGACCTAATTTCAAATCTCTATAAAAACTGAGAAGAATTTAAAGGATTCAAGAACAAGATTTGGAAGATCAAGATTATAATTCTTGAGTTTTATCTTTTTGTTATTCTTTTATTTTTCTTAGTTTGATATTATTGATTAAACTTTATTTGATGATAATGTGTGACTTGATGGGGAACTAATTTATTTATCTAAGATTATTATTGAACTTAATACGTAATTTGATTTATTTTTTTTTTTTACTTATGTTTGATGGATTTAAGTTGTTTATTTTATTATATTCTTAATGCCTCTGATTGCCTGATTACCAATTAGATTGAATTAGGAACCTAGGTTAAACCTTGACAAAAAAAATTTAAGTAGACTTTGAATAGAATAGTG